CAGGCTGGGGGTTGACCTGCTGGAAAGGAGCTCTGCCGAGAAGGACCTGGGAGTGCTGGTGGACAGCAAGTTAAGCATGAGGCAGCAATGTGGCCTTGTGGCCAAGAAGGCCAATGGTCTCCTGGGGTGCATTAGGCAGAGTGTTGCCAGCAGGTGGAGGGTGGTGATCCTGCCCTTCTCCTCAGCCCTGGGGAGGCCTCACCTGGAGTATTGTGTCCACTTCTGGGCTCCCCAGTACAAGAGAGACCTGGCAGTAGTGGAGAGAGTCGAGCGGAGGACTACAAAGATAATGAGGGGACTGGAGCATCTCTCCTCTGAAGAAAGGCTGAGGGAGCTGGGCCTGTTCAGCCTGGAGAAGAGAAGACTGAGGGGGGATCTCATCAACGTGCATAAGTATCTGAAGGGGGAGTGTCAAGAGGATGAGGCCAGTCTCTTCTCCGTGGTTCCCACTGACAGGACAAGAGGCAACGGGCAGAAACTGAACCACAGGAAGTTCCATCTGAACCTGAGGAAAAACTTCTTTGCTGTGAGGGTGACTGAGCATTGGAACAGGTTGCGCAGAGAGGTAGTGGAGTCTCCTTCGCTGGAGATATTCAAAACCCGCCTGGATGTGATCCTGGGCAATATGCTCTAGAGGCCCCTGCTTGAGCAGGGAGGTTGGACTAGATGATCTCCAGAGGTCCCTTCCAACCTAAACGATTCTGTGATCCCGAGCCATCCTGATGGTACTCCTAGAGGAGAAGCCACTGGAGGCATCCTGAGTCCAGGAATAGCGCTCCCTTCCCACCCCATAGCCCTTCCACAGGGACTCCAATGGAAGGGGCTCCCACTGCCCCACTGGTGAAACAGTGTCAGTAAAGGCACAGTGATGCCAACACCAACACACATGCTGAGGTGATATCTCTCCCAGAAGGACCAGGGTGGGGCCCAGAAGGGGGTGGAGTGAAGTCTCCGTGTCCCACCATGGAGCCTCTGCAGCCACAGGTGATCTCAGGGCCGGATGGTGGGCAGGGTGGAGCGCGTTGTCAGACTCGGGACCCAGTGCTGCCAGAGCAAGCAATGAGGGTCCCATGAGCCCACGACCCCTGCAGCCTCACAGCCCCTTCCCCTACAGCTCCAGAGCCCTCATTCCCATCAACCACACAGTCCCTTCAGCCCCACATTCCTGCAGCTCCCTTCCCCCGCAGCTCCAGAGTCCCCTTGAGCCCCCCAGCCCCCAGTCCCATTAGTCCCACAGCCCTCTACAGTCTGAAAGCCCCACAGCCCCATGGACCTCTTCAGCCCCACAGCCCCCAAAAGTCTCTTCCCCTACAGACCCATAACCCCAAAACCTTCTTCAATACCACAGTCCCTTCCCCTACAGCCCTACAGTCCCCTTCCACCCCATAGCCCCCATTCCCATCAATCCCACAACCCCCCATCTCTCCCAAAAGCCCTGAAGACCTCACAACCCCCTGCAGACCCACAATGTCCAGAGACCCCTGCCCCACAGCAGCCCCCAAGCTTCCTCAACCACTCCGCACCTCCTATGGGATGCAAAAGTCGTCTCCCACATGGAGTGCAGCACCTGCACAATGCAGGAGGAGTTGGTGGCTGAGTGCTTCACACACAAGTAACACTAGCCACAGCATGTTTGCAAGCACAGCTTGGTGCTCATGGATCGTGAAACCTACTTGTGGAGTCATCTGAAGTCACGAACCCCATCCTCATCCAGAAGATCCTGCTGAGTGTTGTGATACTGATTCCCTGCAGTTAAGCCAGGGAGAATGCTGGCAGGGGGCACATGGGTGATGGGTTTTCTGCCAGGAGTGTTACAGGACACCCAGGAGGCTCCACTGGAGAAGGTATTGATATTTTTAAGGGAGCAACAGGCCATGGGCTGCTTTATGTGTGACATACAGGGTGTAGGGTCTCTGCAATGGCTTCCCACTGGAAATCCTGAGAATAGTGTAGTGCAGGTGGGCCAAGCACAGCTTTTCTCTGCAAGGCTGAGGGATGCAACTTCAGAGCTATCAATGGGATATGAATGGCTGATGGATGGGAAAGGTACTCAGGAGGGAAGAATGGAAAGCAATGGAGGTGGGGAGGAGGGAAGCCATGATGTCTACTCCCATCAGTGGGAGAATATGAGGCACAAGTGGGTGGATTAGAGAGGCTGGTCAGGAAGCTTCCTTTAGAGGTTCGGCAAGATGGGAAAGGGTCACATGCCGCTGGCAGGTTCCATTTGAACAAGTTCATAAATTCAGTGGCAACTTGCAAGGCTCAGGCAGCCTCGGCAGCTGCAGGCTAGGGTGCTTGCAAGGACGATGTTAAGGAAGCTTTGACCAGTGTGATGGTGTGACCACGCGCCCCAGACCTGAGCTAATGATGGGGATGGTATTATCAGTCCTGCTGGCCGCTCTTAATGATGTCCAAACACTGGCAAGGGAGTTGGGAAGAACTGCAAGACATGCCTTGCCTCTTTGAGGACAGCATGGGTGCAGGGGCAGTGAACGCATGGGGTCAGGCCAAATGCACGCTGGGGGGTGTAGATAGCACCATATCCTGGCTGGAGACTAGATATCTAGAGTGATTCATATGGAAACATTAAGGTTACTAAGGATGGTGGGCAGGGAAGGAGAACCACCACCATTGAAGACGCAGGAGACTCACAAAAGCTGGGTGAAGGTACTAACCAAGGCAAATGTAGGTGGTTGCTGATGATAATCTTTATGCTGAAAAGCTGGCAAGATGGGAAAAAGGGATCGGAAATGCCCAACACGATGAAAAGACACTGCACATTTCATCTCAGTCTCTGCAGCCCAGGAATTGCCCGCACACATGCAAGCAGGTGGTTGGAGATACAAGGTGTAAGGACAAGACTCAAAGGGCACAGTGGGCAACACACTGCCTGGGGATGGCCTCCAAGGGTGCCTGCATCCCAGATCACACACCTGGGGGAGGAAGACCCACCCCCACTATTGAGGTTGTGGTCCTTCCAGCACAGCGTAGGAGGTGCTGGCAGCTGGCCCTAGCCCCTACTCCAACTTAGGGGGTCTCCTTGTGCCCAGATTGAGCAATTGGCGGTGACAAGGGCACCCAACTCTGCTACAGCCCTGCCATAGCACAGGGTCCTTGTGCTTGGAGTGCTGGGCATGCAGAGGGCTGTCCGGGACTGGGGCTGTGGAAATTCAGGGGGGCAAGGGGCTTTCTAGGACGAGGGCTGTGGGACTGCAGGGGGGTGTCTGGGACAAGGGCTGTGGAACTGCAGGGGGACAGGTGGCTATGAGGGATGGAGTCTGTGGGGAGCAGGGGTCTGGGAGGGATGGTGGGCTATATGGGTCAGTGGCTATGAGGGATGGAGGCTGCAGGGGAAGGGACTATGGGATTGGTGGAGCCAGGAATTCGGGAGCTGTAGGGATGGGCCCTTACTTGGGGTCTGGGGCTGAGCAAGGGGAGCCCCAGCATCCCCTCATGCTGGACGGCCCAGCCTCCCTTCAGTGGGGCTGGAGGGGAGAAGAGCAGACGCCTTCCCCAGCCTCAGAGCCCCTTGGGTGAATTCTCCTCCAGGAGGACGGTGAGGACAGCTTTGCTCGCGTTGGACATGGTGGCAGTGACACGGACATTATCCATGGTCACCTGCAGTGGGCCCTGGGAATATGAAAGCTTCATCTTCTGGAAGGTGGTCACCTCCTGCAGCGGGGAGCTCTCCATCATATCCCTGAAGAGATCCTCCACGCTCTGGAACTGTCTATCCTTCGGTATCAGCTTCAGGCCAAACTCAATGTAGTAGAGGTTGTAGTCAAAGGGGTTGGAGAACATGATGGCCAAGCAAAAGGTGTCCGCTTCGTAGACCAGGACCCCCACACTGCCACGCAGACTGTACGACCGCTTTACAAAGACACACTTCCCCACAGTGCCGGTGGGGATCTGCACCGGCGGGGGGGGGTGGCTGTGGCCGCTGAAGCAGTAGCTCCTGCCAAGGAGAGGCATAGGGAGGGGGGGGTGAGCACGTGGTCAGGGATAGGGGATGCAAGGATGGAACACATGCCCCCCACCAGGACTACTGGGTTTTCATCCCCATGTGCAGGGGCAGGGCTGCATCACTGCAGGCATCGGGGTGGGGGGCTGTCACCAAAAAGAGATGCTGGGAAAGGAGATGCATCAAATCTGCAAATTTTCTGAGGCAATTTTTCCTTTTTCTCCTACCCCCTTGAACTCTTCTGGGTGTGTTACAGCCGGCTGGGGTGAACACCTCTGGCTGCCCTGCTCCGGTTGAAGGGCCTGGGGGGCACCACAGGAGCCAGGGCAGTGGGAGTTGCCCCAGGGATCGGAGATGTCCCCAGCCCCACGCAGGGCAGCGGCTAGAGGCCGTGCGTCCCAGGCAGCGCACAGGACAGCCACCTCCATGCACCGTCTGCAGCCCCGACCCCCCCCCCCC